GTTGACAGGACGATATCCATCAAAAGTTGGTATGCAGGTATGACACGAAATAATTAGCTCAATACAGAGAATTGTGGGTAATCATTTTTACTGCTAGCGCATTGGATTGATTTAACATTTACCTGAATAATTAAATCTCATTTTTATTACTCATATGGGATACACAAAATAATAAATCGTCATCGTAATCATTAACTAAAGCAACACGTGCACGTTATTTGCCGTTACTTCAAATATGTATTTAATTATTGTTCCTCGAGTATGAGACAGTCAATGTTATTGGTAATAAGTGATTACATGATTGAATGATGAATATTCGTCTCTCTCAGCGTAGTTCTTGTCTCTGACGTCATGTTATGGTCTTGGCCAAGAATTTTGTAACATGATACTGTCTTCGACGAGAACAGTAGCGATGCAACTCTCAAATACTTTTTTCTACATGATGTTACTTTCGATTTTAAATCTGACAGTTTGTTTGTGGACTCACAGTTTTCGTTACTTGAAGTCTGTCTAACGTTTGGGATATTGACATTTATTGCACTAGGCTTCGGTCAATGTCAAGAATTATCACGCCAAGGTGGCCGTCACAAGTCTCAGCCTTCTGCGTAAGCCAATGACCTCAACATGGGAAATGTTAATTACATTCACTTTTATTTTCAAATATAATCCGTGTTTGCCTCTTTTTATTATACTAAAAGTCAAATAAAATTCCCGAAAATATCCAAAATCATAGTCAATAAAACAAATTTACCAGGCGCGGCGGCAAACATGTTGCGGGTGTTGCCCCTAAAAACAAGCTGAAACCCTTTTTGTGCCAGCAACATTTGCCCCTCAAAATGCAGAAAATAGTGTTTCCGAGGGACTAGATTTAAAATTTGTTTAAGGGGAAGCAGAACAACTAACACATACAATCATAGTACATGGCCACATAACGTAAGAACTAATATACCACATTATATTAATTTCTAAATGCAGCATGGCTCAGTCCGACCGATGCAACCATACTATCTGCCTAGACAATATGCAACCCTGGCAGACAAGCTGAAAGAGGTTGGTTACATGAACCACATAGTTGGCAAGTACGTCTTTAAGCAACCTTTATGAGGATAGTTAGAACGGGACTCGTGTCGTGTTTCAGAAGATTGAATGTATGAAGTAGACTTTTTTTGATGCTGTGAATAGCCAGCCTTTTTTATTGACGAAGCGTTTTTGTGACGTCAGAATGAAGTATTGGCTGTTTAGTTTGTCATTACATAGACTAGATCAAAACACCCCAAAACAGTAATTCGGTTCATCGAAGACCACAGATGAGAACAACGGTGTAACTGGAGTCACTTACATCACTTTGAATCACATAATTCATGTTTTAGTGAAAACTTTGCAACGATTGTTTATGAAAAAAATGCATTTCAACAGTAGACGAAAGATATTTAGGAATAATATATTTCCGACACAGATCTCTTATCGGTGTTCGTATCTCAGGTTTTCACTGTATTTCGTTTGATGAGTAATTTGCAGGTGTTGCTCTTTAATTATTCAATTAACTTTTCTAGCATTAGAACACTAAAAAGTGTGCATGCGTTGTGAATAAAATGAGATCTAAATGATGCTTTTAATATCCGGTTGACTTCATTTAATACAATTACTTATTCATTCGAAGACAATAATTTTGTGTGATATAATTATAATTTTCTTTTTGCCCTATTTCTAGATGGCATATCGGTTCCTGTAATTGGACTTATACACCTTTATGGCGTGGTTTTGATTCACATTATGGATGTTCTGAGGGTGCGACCTCATCTCATGAAACGCATGTGCTCAACATTCCGAGTAAGTTATTAATTAATTTAAACTTCAAAATGAATAAAATGTGTATTTTATTTATGCATAATTATGTGGTAACATGACTACCACACACCAACCCACCTCGTCGCCACTTTTATTAGTGACTGGCTGCAATGTCACGTGACACGTGTGCCTCATATTTTAATTATGTACCACAAAGCTTATGGACTTTTACCAGAATGCCATATTAGAAAGCAACCTTTATAAAATGTTTTAAATAAAGCGTGACATAATAAGAATAATGAATAGTGTAAATAAACCCAAATAATCAGAACAAAAGCATAAACGTATGGGCGGCAGAGGCATTGTGATTACGATGGTCACTCCAAACTTAACGAATATGTAAACTTGTTGAACGAAAACACAATATAAAGTACGGGGTGTACGCACAAGACTGAATAAACGAATGTCTCGCATTGTGTTCTATCTACAGTTTTTGGAACACCAATTGTTTCGGGGATCGATTTACGAGACAATACAGGAGTGGTTACACATCAGAATGGAACTCACAATGTGGTATGAACACAAACAACATAGTCGTCATCAAAAAAACATAAAAATAATATCTTATGGTTGATGAACAATGTAACAATGTAAATGTGTTTTGTTTTAAAGTTTTTATTTTCAGAGAGAGCTGAGAAAATTGTTCGTAATCACAACCCGAAATCACCACTGTTTCTCTATGTTGCGTATATGGCTCCTCACTTTCCCCTCGACGTAAGTATCCACAATATACATCATTTACAAATACCTCATGTAATTGCAAAGCTACCTGTAATTGTATACTTTATTTTAAAATTTACAAAGTATAGTCCCATACTTGAACTTTGCATGCTGATTTGTTTTGCGATCATTAAAACTAATATCGGCGAAATATTCAAAATAATTCATATATACAAAAATGCACTCCCCGATAAAATATTCAGCTAAAAAGTCTTTATTCGTAGCGTTGTTGGTATTACTTGTATTTTTTTAATCAGCTCACATCACTCCATGTATAGCACGGAGTATTTATATCTTTCTCACACTAATTTGAATAAGCTGTATAGTGTATTCATCAGATCTTTTGTTCTGTTGGATTGTTTTGCCGATTGTTGTTAGTCATTTGTTTCTCGCTCTCGAGACTAAATTTCCAATTACAACTTTTGTACATATATCTCTATGGTTAAATGGTTATTTCAAATTTATTATAATTGGAGGTCCAAAATCATGTCTTAACAACCATAACTACATATAATTTATTCACCATATGTTAATAATAACAAATGAAACTTTGATATGTGATGAGAACATTTGCCATGGAAACAAATGATAGTCTTTTTTCAAAATCACCATTTTACATGAATGCTGGACTCTCAGTTTGTGCATATGTGTTAATGATAACCATGTACACCTAATCCAATTAATAATACATATTTAAGACTATGTAAGAATAAGACAAACAACATAAGAGGACACTGTCTATACACTTCTGTCTTGAATGTAAAATAATATTATTTAATTTAAATGTAAAAACAATGATTAAACACCGTCTTTGAAAAGAACATCGTTCCATAATTTGGCATCTGAGTAAGATTTAGTAAACTGACCAATAGTGGTATTGGTATAGTTTACATAAAGCTTGAAATGATTGCGCTGTGTTGCAGTATAATCATGGTGATCAAGATATTGTAGATGTTATAAGGCGGCAGTCGTTGCGTAACTCATGCAAACAAAGATGGCGATTTTGGATTTTGCGCAGATCAACAAGTACAAACTGAGACGTTAGCAAGCTTTAATTAGGTATGTTGTAGGTGATTGGAAGGTATCGAAAGAGTCACCGGTGGTAATTAGTGCAAGTCGCGCCTAGGTCAAACGTCATACTTGTGATTTCCATTAGAAGAGCGCGTTGGCTCGTGGGAAAATCAATATTTTTGAACATAAATGTCGCACAAGCACAGCGCGACGACTACCGCCCTTTAAGATAGACAATAAGCTGTATTGTTATATAGTAGCTAGTGACAGATGGTATGTGTTTGCGATTTGTAGATATCAAACATTTTCAAACGTACAAATAAGGGGGCTTTTTCAATGAGAAGGATACAATTAATATGCATCGCGTAAGTGTTGCCCCACACCTCTATGTTAAATAAGGTAGAATAAATACGTTGTATATAAGTGGAATATTTCTGATCTTACATGGAATTTCACACTTACTTACCGCACGAGTTTTACTAAATTGTTCAATATGCTTAGTCTAGGGGATAGTTGTCAAAAGTAATTCTAACAAATTTGGCATTATCATTCATGTAAATATTGTCAGATTACTATTATTTTTACCACTAAAAACTATAAATTCATTTACCAATTATTTATCGTCAATTTGTTAACAGAAGGATCCTGGTTTAAATGCACTGTGACATATGACAGATCAGTATTATATGTAGATGTGAATATGTGTGAAACAAATTTGATTCGTCTGCAAACAATCAAAAGTTGAAAAAATCGGAAGAATTTAAATATCATTAATATAAATTAAAAATATAAAGGGTCGTAAACCAAGTCCTGTAGAACACCTTGAAAAATACGCGATTCCATTGAACTGAACATATTGAAGGTACTTGCTTTCAATCCAGATTTGCGAACCGTTACTGAAAGACCAGGCTTCAGAATAGTTATTATAACAGCGCCATCTACGCGCATGACATCTATTCTGGTGAATGGATGGACACTAAGTAAATGAATATATTATTTTAATTTGTGATGTTCCAAAACAGATTCATATTATTAGCTTAATAACTCGTACATAGCAACCACGGTACATTTATATATTGATTTACTAGTAAGTCGTACGGAATATAAATAAATTAATATTAATTCATCGGGCCTGTAACATACGGAACCTTCGTATCAAAACGTTCCATATATTTCTATAAAAACAAAATGTCCTCTTTGAAAAAAGCCGAGGCCGAAACAACCTAAGATCAAATTATTCATATTCAATGGTCGACCACTTTTTTAGGTCTGACTTACTTCCACTCGTTAGTAATCCAAACTGGATAGTATATTTCGAACAACACTAGTTGTTTGACGAAAGAACTTATTGAAAACTTATTTAAATCTCTACACTGACAAGACACATACAATTGAGCAAAGAGAGCAGTTGTTCTTCGATGAGGCAATTTAAGTTTTTCTTTAGTTAACTTGGTTTTGGTTCAGGGCAATTGAATTTTGGAAAACAAATCTTTTCAAAAAAACATCAAAAAATTTAGTTCGTGTTACAATTTTTCACCAACAAATTGGAAGTACTGTTCTTGTCCAACCCACTCAATATATTGAATTGCTGCCACCACTTCTGTATCTCTTACGCCCTCTTTATCAAGAACTATTACATCACAACTAACATCTAAAAATTTACCCATGCCTTGATTATTGTCTGTATCAGATACATTGGTCACCATAGAGCGTAGTGAATAATGTTGAGTGCAGCCTAATGCATCACGACGTTCACTGAACATAGACCTTACAAACTTCTGTAGCGAATATCTTCTCCGTATTACATTCCAATTCCAATCATTTTGATTCCAGGTTCCAAAAGGATTTGAAGATTCTGTAGAGTTGGCGGATGATGATAGACGTAAATTTGCTGGTATGTTAAACGGGATATACCATTATATGTAACATAATAGAGGTTGAAGCTTCATACATATGATTGTTATATAAATTCGGTTATGATTCGTGGGTAGATTATAAAGGTGTGTGCTTTACTTTTACATTGAACGATTGACAACAGGGCATTAAACAGTTTGATAATATTAATTATCTCATTTTGTGATATTATCCTAAGGTATGATGGCAGCTTTGGATGACGGTGTAGGTAACATCACACGAGCTTTAAAAGACAATAATATGTGGGAGGACACTCTGTTCGTATTTCTAAGTGATGTAAGTATTGTTTGCTTTTAGTGTATATATATGGTAATTCAAACAGCACTTTCACGAACAATCCCATGTTAACCTGTATTTAATCTGTTTTGCTAGAATGGAGGCGATGCCGCGTTTGCTGGCTCCAACTACCCGTTCAGAGGAAACAAAGCAACACTCTGGGAAGGTGGTGTAAAAGTACCTGCGTTTATTCATGGCAGTATGTTAAAACAATCAGGCTATGTGAACAAAGAGTAAGTAATATGTAGACTGTAAATAGAGTTTTAGCGTTATATAAATATTATTGGGATTTTCCATTTTTTTTAATCTGTAGCAGTACTCAGAATTGTATCAGCTAACAATTTAGGAACATTAACAATAGATTTTAATGTTATGGAAACGTATTTAAAAAAGGTTCGCAATGCCCCTCATTTTCGTAAACTCCATTCCTAGTTAGCTACATACATCCGACTCGTTTTTTCTGCTAACTGTAAGCTCGAATGAAATTACATCCGGCCACAGAATACAAACCTCAACAATTATTATGGAGTGTCATAAAATATGTATGAATGTTTGTCAAATGACAACGAATTACATTTTGTTTGAGAAGGTTTGTATTGCCAGATAACTAAACAGGTCAACGACTAATATTCTAAACGTAAACTAAGCTGCTATTTATTTACACTGTTAGCTATTATTTTACCATTGCTAAATTTCTGATTTTTTCAGTGAGTTACACTAATCTAAACTCAATTTGGTTTGTTCTTTTCAAAAATAAATTAGAAATATATGAAAATGTATTTGTCATAATACTATTATTAGCATTATCAATAGCAGTGGATTTTATGAGGTTTTTACATTTTACAGATCAAACAAATTTCTGATTACATTTAACAGTTTTTTTTAAATATATTTAATTGTTGATAATTTGTGTTTAAGAATCAAGAATCAAACAATATCACACATCAAATACTTCTCTGTTCAACCCGTTCAACTGCTCATGTTGAATATTGTTGTTCATTATGATTCTTCTCAGCACATGCTATGTACACGCATTGCACCTACACGCATTTCAGTGTTCTTGCATGCGTTCAGTGCGACACTTTTTCTGCTGTCAGAAAACTTCTTGGTATATGCGAAGCGCACGCACTGATCAAGCCAGGAATTAAAGGGCGATAGTCGCCGCGCCGCGCATGTGCGACATTTTTGTTGATAAACTTTGATCTTTCTACAATCCGCTTGTCTGATGAAATCGAGAGTACGAGTTTTGCCCTGAGCGACTCCTTCGATACCTTCCAAACACCAAATAAATACCTAATTAAAGCTTGGTAACCTCTCCGTTTGTACTTGCAGCGGGTGCAAGATACTTACATACACCTAACTCCCGCTCCGGGTAGGTAATTACCAAGGGACTTTGCAACGATCCAGTGACCGTTGTAGACGCAATAAACTTACATACCCGTTCACGTGACAGTACATTGTTGTATTGTTTGATTAGGATTGACTAACTGAAAATATAAATTTATACAGCTGATCATATTATACTGATAACTGTCGTTCGTCCGACCGTCAACAATTGCATTATCATCTACTTCTGGAAAACCAGTAGCCTTGGTGTTTAGTATCTTTGGTGGAACTCTGTCAGATTTTGTGTCAATATAGTATTTTGGTCTAAACAGCTACTTTCTCAATCAGATGCACAGCATGAGCTTTTGCCCATCATGGTCATAGTGAGGTAAATAATTTCCATCTGCGGCAATGGCTTGCGCTCTCATTTTTTAAAACTTAAATCGCGACTTCACAATCACCGAGATTGCACCAGTGCGTCATGGCCCATCCATTTGTTTACTTTGTTCACATTCTTTACATAATATTGTTTAAAATACTCGGGTGGAACAAATAACCAAAATGTTGGCTGATTGTGACGGTGATCAAAAAAGGCGCTCAAAATGTGCTATAGGAATAATAATGATATACTTTTATCAAATTCCATTGGGCATCGATTGTATTTCAGACACTGATTGACACAAACCATATCACATCCAATGTCACGTAATAAGCCCTCAACAATGCCAATCGAAATTCAAAAACAATAATGTTTGGTGATGAATCTGTATTATATTATAGATTATACCACTTCACTGACGTATTTGCAACATTGTTGAAGGTTGCTGGAGGAGAACCAGGTACATTTAGTTATATTCTTTATATTAAGTGTGCATTTCAGATACGACAGTCCACACAATAACGTATTATTAATATATATAAAGTTTGCCAAATGCCATAACTGCGCAGCAATATATTAGGAACGTTACGCATGTTCGATCTCATTTATCAAACCTATTTTTCATAATATAAATGGCATGACTGAATGAATTGCAAAACAGTATTTAACATTGTATGTCCAAATTAGCAATCTTATAAAAGTAATTTCTGTTTTACCCTATATTAAGTGACATACAACATTCCAACATACTCATAATACAGACGTTTTACAAGCATAAATATGCAAATACTAACTTAACTAAACTTAATTAAAACAATGAAATTGATAACAATAAACAACGAGTGTTGATTTCATCTCATTTTAAAATTGGCATATCTGTAGCATGTTTACAGTTTTGCTTTGAATTCTTGTTTTGTATCGTTAATGCACGGTGTGTTATTTTAGATGATGATATTGACGGGAAGAATCAATGGGATAGCCTATGTAGAGGGGAGCATTCAGAACGCTCAGAAATGTTGTTGCACCTTGATACCCACCCAGTGACCAATGGTGCTGCGTTGAGGTATAACACTGATTATCTATCATATTGTAGCATAACAAGAGTGTTTATAGTTGAGTAGAATATTTCAACAGTGTAGTAATTTACACAGGGACTTGTACGAGACTAACGCACGGTACGTTGTTTCCCTGCAGGTCAGGTGACTACAAATATATTGAAGGAATCACAAATCTCGTAGTTCAAAAACTGAATCAAAATGATGAACTCCATTTTGGTAAGATTACTTTGGTGCATTTTTCTGTAGAATTGTGGAAAAGTTAAAATGTAAAGAGTACACCATTTGCGGAAAAAATATTTAATTAACTGACAAATAACGAATGAATAAATGAATGGGTGATTGTGTGTAGGGGTGAGTGGATAGGTGGCAAGTATTGGTAGATGAGTGAGTGGGTCGGTGGGTGGTCGAGAGAGTTAGTGAATTACCGACTGAATGATGGAATCAATGAATAAAACTGTATGTTGATCATAATTTTGTTGTCTTCAAACACGACATACCATAGTTGATATTTAGGGTCAAAGTTTGTTTTGACCCCTTTTTTAGTTTTTCTTTTGAAACGTTTCAAGCACATAGGGGACTATGAGAACTAATGTGCCTAACATACATATTTTGATTGGTCGACTGGATTGGCATCCATTTTGAAATGGGAAGCCAATGTGAACCCGTTCTGAGGATATCCTGACTAACGAATGTGAGTCGTTAGGTGACTTTCTGCGAAAAATGGCGATCATCACTTACAAATTCTTGTTCGTCAGAAACATTGAACACATTGATTGTTTTTGATGGTTTAGTCGCCATTTTAGATTTTCCGCAAAAAATGCTGAAGTTTGGGCTGTTGGTATCTCAAGAGTGCTTTATAGATCAAATTGCTATTTTGCATGTATTATAAATTGGGTATTAATGCAGCCTTCAAACCAAAGTAGCTCTGCAAGTTCTGCAAAGTTGTTCAATATACAACTATTATTGTTTTACTTATTGTGTAACCCAACTATATAATAGACCAATGGTACCGACCAGCAGAGAGTCCGGATGCTGAGATACCAGATGCACCTCTGATATCCGAAAATGTAAACAACAGATTCCTGTTCAATCTGAAAGGTTAGGTGGCAATGGTTTATTACATTTACCTTGTTATTTATATTTTTAGTAGTAGTAATATACACGATGCTCAAATATTCTTGCTATTACATAAAAAGCAGACATATCTAGCAGTATAGATTCTCTTTGGCGCCAGATGGTTCCCACAGGAAGCCTAAGAAAAAACGCCTGAAATTTAATATTCAAATGCACCACTCATTACAAGAAACTAATCATTCTACTATTAAAGGCAGACATCTGGTGCTCTATTTTGTTTTCATGCATTTAACTACTGAATATTCAAACTTAGTTCCTTAGTTCCGATATTACTGACCACTACCCCATATTTGGTGTCATTGAACGTCTTAATCACGTGTTTCAGACAGATAATCATGTTCAGAAATACGACTTTTCCTACTATAATAAAAACCGGTTTTTGACCGACTTAAGTGATGCATCTTGGCAGTCAGTTTATAATTGTACCGATCGCATACACATTATTTATAATATTTACTACGGTATTTCATCTAAACATCTTCCAATTAAAACCATTCACGTTAAATCGAAATCTCTTCGAAAAACCTGGCTATCCCAAGGTCTCCTTAAATTGGTCAAAACCAAACATAAATTATTTGGCAAATTGAAAAACAAACCAACTGATATTAAATTTTTAAAAAAATATAAAACCTACAGAAACTTGTTAAATAAATTACTAAAATTGGCCAAGAAACGGTATTATTCAAACAAATTTTCAGCATCCCGTGGCAATAGCAACAAAACATGGCAAGTGGTCAACGAAGTCCTTAATAAGTCTAATCGTTCAACCGTTCCACAGAAATTAATTTCAGCAATTCTGGCAAAATACTGACCACTAGTTCAGATATTGCAGATGAGTTCAATGACCACTTTGTTAATATCGGTCCAAATCTTGCCGCTCAAATTACTAGCTCTGGTGATTTCATTGATTACCTCACTGGCAATTTCTAAACTCTTTTCTTCTTTCATCCTGTAAGCGACATTGACGTTTCAAGAAATTATTTCCCTTGA